CAGCACCCTCAACTCCTCCATAAACCACGGGGAGTGTCGGGGCCGGCGTGGCAAGAGCGGTCGCAAAGGCGCGATCCTGTCCAAGGCCCCGGCCGCTTCTCTATTCCAGGCAGCAGCCAGGGCCTCCGCTGGACCGTGCACCCTTTTTCGTGTTGCCCTTTTCCTAAGGACTGTGTTGCCCTTTTTCTAAGTAAAAGAAATGCTAAATTTGCCATAGAGGTGTTCAAGCTTCCCTGATCATTCTGGTTGCCGTCTTCTCCATTTTTTCCAGCTCTATTCTACCCTCTTTCAAAGGTGGCGATCAGATGTGAACATAGTATAGATTTCCCTAAAGACAATCCAATATTGGATGTTTTATTTTCAATCTCTTTTCTAATGGTTATCATCATTTAGAAACACAAATTTGGAGTCAAAAATAGTGGTCTCAATAAATTCTCATACCTACAAGCCAGCATGTCAGGGCAGCAGTGTCTGCAAGACTGGGGGCAAAACGGGTTAAATTGAATTCAGCAATATAATGATGCCCCCAACCCTTTTCTTTTCATGCACTGCAATGTCAGTTGCATGCCCCAAAGGGGTGTAAAACTTGTAGCATGATGCTGTTTTTGTCATTTTGATGGCAGCAGCCATTTCTGGGTGCCATGTGATGGGGCTAAGCCAACCCTATCCTATAACTGCATGTTTTATCAGCACAAAGAATGTTGTAAGCAGAGGAATATTTAACAGATGGTCTTCAATCTTTCTTCAGAAGCAATCCAGAGTGTGGGCTGAGGGCTCTGCCAACTGCTTTTTCAGTACACGTACATTAGTCAACCCTACAGTCTGTCTCTGTACAGCTTTTTGTAGTTATAGGGCAACGTTCAAGGCTGACTTTCTTCATGTACCTACAAATCTGTCAAAAGGATAGCAGTCTCAAGTGGCTTATAAAGATCACGATGGAATACATGGGGGAAAGCAACGATCATGACCTGTGATATAATCTAGATTTGAATTATAGCAAGAAAATTTTGTCATTATACTTTTCAATTGCTTGCACACTTACCTGGCCATTTTCAGCTTTTTTATTATATATAGCATCAGCTTTGGAATCCAGCTCTGCTTGGATCTGGTCTCTTCTTTTCAAAACACCCTGAAATATGAAATAGCAGAAATAAATGTATCAGAAATTCTGCACAAATAATTCTGAAAACTAACTTGTGTTTGAGTTGAAATTGGGGAGAAAGACATTTTTTTCCACACATCTCTTATGTGTAACACTAAGATTCTGGGTTATCCTGGATGTCATTTTCTGTCTGCTTGACAGGAGAAACTAAAAGCTATCTTGTTGCATTGGTACAAGTGGGTGCGTAAAAGAGAAATAAAGAGCTGTGCTTCTTTTACTTCTCAAGAAAAAATGACATTTATTAAATGAGTGCTACTGCCTGCACCCCACTATGAGAATCTACAGCTGAATGCAGGTCTTACAGCTGTCAACAGAATAGGATGGAAAAGAAATGAAATTGAGATGCTGTGTTAATGGAAGGATGAGCTACCCCCTGCCTGCACCAAATGCAGCCTAATTGTGTGGCTGAGGAAGAATTTAAGGGTCTAACAAATACAATAACATCCTCTAATTTCTCACCTCACCTTCCCTGCAATTAATCAGACAAGCTGGTACAAGACATTGCTCCTATCAAATTGAAATTCTAATGGGCCACACAGATGTTACTTTGGGCCTTGTTCAACTCATCCTGAGATGGTTTTCACTGAGTCTACCTAAGATAGCTCTTTTGGTAAAGTCCTGTTGAAAGTACTGACATTCTGCTGTCCCCCATGGTTTGCCCACCTGTCCTCCATCCTGTAGTAATACAGAAGCTATACAGATTATGATCCTAAATCAACCTTGTAATTTGCATGGCTCTTTCTGACTACCCTTCTTATCCCAGTAGGCTTCTACAGTCTTTCATTACAAGAACTATGTGGATGAAGGGGTTTTATTGTGTTATCTAAATGTCAACTGAAATGTCTCCCAAACATGGCAACATCCATTTGCTGCTCTCTGAAGGAGACTTCACAAGCATTTCACATGGCAGTGCTGGAGTAAAATCTTGACAAGTAATGTGGGGCTTAACTATTGAGTCATTCAGTCACAGTCTTGCTAGAAGAATAATCAACCAAAGACCAAAGATTCTTCTGCCAATTTGGAACAGCTTGCTCTTAAAGCTAGCATCCCCAAATATAAGTAAGAGTAATCTTAAGCCATATTTGGTGGAGGTAAAATAAATGAAAACTGAGCTATGGTATGTCAATATGCACATGTCAGATCAAGCAGGGCAATGGTAATCCCTCTGACAGTATATACTGAAAAAACATTTCAAATGCATCATAGAGGGCCTGATTATTTGAGGGACCACCTATCTCCAATAGTTGCTGCCTATCCTGTAAGATCAGGCTGAGTAGGTGTACTCCAGATCTTTCAATTGAACAGTATCATCTACTGGAAATTAGCAACTTTGCTTATTCTGTCATGTTGCCTGCCCTATGGAAGAACATCCCATCCAAGACCCATATGGTTCCAGCCTGCTGATGTTCAGGAAGTTGCTGAAACCCTGCCTATTCTCCCAGGCCTTGGGGTAAGATGGGTGCTGAGCCATTGTAGACTTTTTTTTATCTGTTATGGATTCTTTTCTTACGAATGTCTATGACTTATTTCTCATGAAACTGAGGAACTATGAAAAACTGCATTCTTGTAGAAACACATACAAAAGTGGGTTTATAATATAGTTTGAAACTGTAAATGTCTACAGATATTCTGTGAGTTAAAAAGTACCTCACTTCAAATGGAATTTCTCCTTTCCGAACATAGTTACTAAGCGATCCCATGCAGCAGGGAGTTCAAGTATGAAGACTTATATACTCTTGAAACCTACAATATTCTATTGTCAAAACAACCGTTGACACTCACCAAGTCCTCCCCAAACTAACTAGCTTTCATAATCATGGTCCTCTGTTGCCTTCTTGCTATTTTCTCCCTAGGGACCAGTAGTTCATGTATAGTTAAGAGAAGAAAGAGGTGCATTTTGCAGGAAAAAAAAATACTATATAATCCTCTCCTACAGTGCTGCACTATTAACATTGACTAAGAAAATGCATTGGCAACATTCATGAGAACATCCACTGCAGCAATGACATCAGAGGAAACTGAGCTGCTTAAGAGCTTCCAACCCATCTTACCATCAATACTTCATTGTAAAGCAAATATTCATGTATAACAGGAAAGAAGCTTTCAGACAGTGCTGCCATCCATTTCTCAGTAGCCTTGCAACACTGATCAATGCAAGTAGCCATTCCTTTTAATGTATCTCCCAGATCTTCTTCCGAGGCAGCCCACAGAGTGTGAATTGGACCAAATTCCTTCAGTTCATAAAAATAGTCTTGGAAAAGGAGAGGAAAAAAAAACGGTATTCAGGACTTCATAATCAATCTCTCAAATGACTATTATAGACAGGTCAAGAGCTTTAAATAGAAACTCTTTCTAAAGAATACTCTAATTTGAAATTCTGGCATACCATCCAGAGTTCAACATTAGGTGTTGCTGTCAGGTGCAGGTAGTCCCCAGTTAACGGCTGCCCTGTTTAGCAACTGCTTGAAGTTACAACATTGCTGAAAAAGTAACTTTAGAACCAGTCCTTGAACTTATGACTGTTGCAATGTTCCCATGGTCACATGATCATGATTCAGGCACTTCACAATTGGCACACATTTACAACCGTCTCAGCATCCTGTGGTCATAAGATCACCATTTGAGAGCTTCATAGCCAGCTTTCAACAAGCAAAGTTAATGGTGAAGCTGGCAGTAAAATTGCAAGTTATGGTCATGTGATGTCTCACTTAATGACCATGCATGATTTGCTTAATGACTGGTTTCACTTAACAACCACATTGCTTAGCAACAGAGTGCCAGTCCTGTTTGTGGTCATTAAGTGAGGACTACCTATTATTAAGAAATTTGGGACTAGGTTTACGAGACATCAATTTGCAAAAGATTTCCATTTAATGATATTTAAACATATGGATGCAAATTTAACCCAGCTTTAAATTAAAAAGAACTTTTGCTTTTGCATTCAAAATGTACTCTGAGCTATAGAATGCTAATAGCCCAGTTTGTGGATTGGATCCAACATCTTAATCCATGTAAGAATTACTAAAATACTGCACCTGAACCACTTTGAAAATCTGAAACACAATATATAAATGCTAAAAATTGTTTCTATGAAGCTATATTATGTGTATGCACCCAGAATATTTAACATCATTCATACATCTAAAATAAAAGCTTGCTCACAAAAAATGTATGCACTCATAAATGTGTTAATTTGTCTTTAAGATCCTGCAGAACTCCTGGATCGGTTTTAATTTCATATTGGCTTCCATAGCAACCTCCTGGCACTATTTTCCCTCCCTTTTCCCAGGATTGACAAGACTGATTGCCAAGGCCTATGCTGTGGGTGTGCCTCTGTGCACACAGATTTTCCACAGCTTGGAATTCACAAAACAACCTTTTTGTTTTCAAAACCGTTGGCACTATTGCTCTGAGCCTGTGTAAAATGCTTTTCTTCTGAGGGGAAAAAAACATGTATGGTCTTAACAATACAGTATTCCTGAGCCATGTGTTCATTTTCTAACAAAAAGCTTTTTTTAAAAAAAGAACACAGTGTCTCTGACCATGGACAAAGTGCAAGGCCACCTCTGGAAAAACATCTTACACATTGCTGCTAATGTTTTCCTTCCTAAACTTTATTTATTTATTTATTCTTTAGATGTATATCCTGGCTTTTACTCATGAGCTGAAGGCAGTGTTTATAATTACTACATGCATGTGGATGTTAGTACAAGGCAACAGCTCTCTTCTTGGCAATTAAGGATAGAAAATACTATCCATTTGGCATCAGTAGAAACTTTTTTTTTCTAAGCTTAATTACTATGTGAAGAGTTGGGCTGATATTCAGGGGATCTCAGTGTTAAGGGAATAGAAAGTTAACCGTCTTCTGCTTCATTTCTGTGCCTGAAAATTCACCCACTCCCCCATATACTCACATACACACACATACAACATTTTCTTTAGAAAACTGCTTTTTACTGGCACCAGTCTAAACGTTTAAACCCTAAACCTATAATCTAAAGTGCAATGTGGTAGGTGGGTGGATTTTCTGGGAGCTATAGCACATGGGGAAAGAAAAGTTAATTTTTCTTTCCCAACCTGCAATCTCCTTAAACGTTTTCCTTTTAGAGACAAAATATCAATGGATTCTAACATTCAGCAGCTTGGGAAACAGGTTGGAAACCAAGGCCAAGTTGATCCATGCAGTCGCCCATGTGGTCTTTCTGGAACCATCAGGACATGTGCCTCATTCTTAATTGCTCTCTCCATAGGAGCTGACAATCTCCTTTTCTTTCTTTTTAAAGCTCTGAGTGATTGGCCAAGTAGCAGGGCAAATGGGCATGAGCTGAATTGGTGTGAGAGATGCATCTGTCAGGGCCAGCAAATAGCTGTCATGATGGTAAATGGCACCTTTGGTGGCTGGGTGGATATTGTCTGAAGATGGCACCAACCAGTTTTCTCCCATCTCAATACAGCATTCTTATTCAGACAGTTCCTTTCAAAGAAGGAAAAAAATGGCTGATCCTAACTCAGTGTTTCTGAACCTTAGCAACTTTAGGATGTGTGGACTTCAACTCCCAGAATTCCCAATCAGCATTGCTGGCTGAGGAATTCTGGGAGTTGAAGTCCACACATCTTAAAGTTGCCAAGGTTCAGAAACACTGTCCTAACTCTTATCCTTACATACAAGTCAGAACTTACAGGACCAGCTGCTAACTTCTTCCAGTTTTAAGATGTCAGTGTCAGGCTGTTAAAACCAATGGTTCTGCTGGAATTATTTCACAGAGAAAAAGGATTCCCTGTGATTTTCCATTTGTGAGGTGCAAACTAGCCCAATACAGAAAAAAAGCTGTATGGCTGTAACTTGCCTTGCTGTGAAGCTCTAAAATTCGGCAGGGAAAAAATACTGAGCTGACAAGGAAGTACTCTCGATCTACCCCAGAGCTGGTTTTGGCAATTTTTTCCCCCACTAACCTTTTTTTTCTTTGTAAACTCGGTGAGAGATTTTGTCCAACAGATTGATTTTCTGGTTAAATATGTCCACATAGTCATTCATTTCTGTAAATACTTCTGGGCGGTTTTTCACAGCGCTGCCTCGAATTGATGAAGCCACTGCCTTGACTGTTTGCCCCATTCTGCTAAGTAAGCCAGGGCCCTGCTTCTTATGAGATGAAAGTTCCTAAAAATTAAAGGAGGAAATCCAATTCCAACAAGGATAAACAGATCTTATACAGTGGCTCTTATTGTTCAATCTATTTAATGTAGTAAAAGCCCACACCCACAGCAGAACCTCTAGAACAATCTCAAATAATATGGAGACCAAACATGCTTCATTCAGTCACCAAAATAAGAACGGTTGCTACCTGAATCCCTCTGAAGATTTCTTTGGATGCCATATTTCATCAATAATCCTAAATTAAATCATGATTCTATTTTAGATTGGGTGAACAGCAGTTAAACAGATGAAAATCACAATAATATCACAATATTCACTGAATCTGTTTTCCCTGCAAAATATTAACTATAGTTTGTCCATGTCCTAACATCTGTCTGTAGCAATACCTGAAGCTACATTGAAAGGTGACTGCATGAAGGAAGCTCATCATTATAATGAGACAACCCGATTTCGCGTTATATGCAGACACAGCTAATATTTTCCATCTTGACTGTACAAAGCTTAGGGCCACCCTGCTGCTAGAGTCTCTCTGCTAGGCCAGGAGGCAGAAAGACAGCAATAAGCTAGTTCTCTTTGCTAGGCAAAAGGAGGGAGGGAGGGAGGGAGGGAAGGAAGGAAGGAAAAAAGAAAGGATTCTGCCAGTCAAGGAGAAAGAAAAGAAAGGAAAGTGAATGAGGAGAGGAAAGTCAAAGGAAGTATCTTTGCTCAGAATGAAGAGGAGAGAAAAACAGGATTTGGGCATCTCTTAGTGGGATGGGTTTCTTAGATTATATCATCCTAAATATGATCTTGGAAAAAATATTATATAGCAACTCAGTAATAAAATCAAATATTGGTGTTTTGGTTGATAAAAAATACTGCTGGCTAAGTAGCAAGAGTGAAACAGCTCTGTTTTGCATTATCTAATTTAGGTATGTTTAATGGCTTCATTTTCTTCATTTTTGACTCACTGGAGACTTTTGTATCAATGTATAAAAGGTTTCAAGTGTTGTGTCTTTAGACTAATGAATTCATTTGCATGAAGTATGTGTCAATTAGAATGGTCTAAGGGCAAAAGGGTCTTAACCCAGTTTGATACCTATTTTGCTCAGACATGGCAAATCCTATTGTATTAGAACCATAACATCTGAAGGTTTCATTACCCAGGCCTGTGCAGTAAGAAAAATTTTGAAGTCCTCATTAAAAGTTAAAGTAGGATGATCAGCAATCCGGTTTAAAAACTTATGCAGAGCTTTCCTCCTTGTTTCAATGAATTCTTCATTAAATCGTTCCACAACTCCTTTCATTATGAATTTTTCAGGCAATGGCTACATAAAAAAATAAGTGGAAGGATAAAATAATTAAGGTGCATATATACCTAAACCAGCAACTCTAAAAATACAATTTCTATGCATACTATGCCTTAAAATGGAATGACTCACAACTCTTTATCAGCACAAAAGTAACAGAGAAGGTGGGCAGAGAGAAATCTTTGTTAAAATACCAGCATTTTCATTTTAGCAACTTTGTCTGATTTGGGGGCAAGATTCAAAAAATGACTTGAATAACGTGACAAGACTCCATTCAGTTTACAAAAGGTGGCTTGTTTCATCAACATTTGTGTAACAGGGAAACAGCACAGAAACTCCAGTTGTCTAGCAGACTTCCATTGCCAACTTTACTGCTTTATCTCTTCTCTGGAGCCCAGCTTTCTAAATAAGTAAGATAAAAAGTCTTACAGGAATAATAAGTGTTGGATGTGCTTCTTCAAGTCTTCCTTTCAACCAAAGAAAGTCCTGATAGCGTCTTCTAACCTCATATTCACTGGAGTCAAATTCACCACGAGTTGTCTGAAAAGAAAACCATAAAGTAAAAAAAACAAAAGCAAAACAAATGAGAAACTTCTGTTTTATATATATATGGCAGCAATAATGTTATATGACTAGGGAAGGAACTGAACAAATTAAATCAAATATAATATTAAGAATTCACAATGGGTGGGATTGTTCCTTCTTTGTTCAGGTCTTGTCTGTAGACCAGTTCTAACCCTCTAAAACCATCTGCTTCCTTTCATTGAATCTTAGCAATCTAAAAACTGCCCGCACATCTTTCTCACTACCTTTAGCAGGACCTTCCAAACTATAACTCGGGTACTATATAACTGCAACTCACCATTCTGGGCATCAATTGGGCCATTTAACCATTCAACCATGTTCCAGAATATTACAGAATATTCCAGCATAAAAAGTTTGTGGAAGTCTGCTCACAATCTGGTGCTCTCCATACATCTTGTACTACAACCCCCATCATCCTCTGCCAGTGCAGCCTTGGATGGGGATGACAAGATTTGTAGACCAAACGCATCTGGAGGGCACCACCTGAAGAAGGCTGCTCTAAAACCTACTAAGCTTTCCAACACCTTTAGAAGAAATGGCAGAGGACCTGAAATGGCACAAAGCCTGATGGCATCTCTCTTGCTAGCAAGAGAACAAGCCCTAGAAGATACAGTAAGGCTCATTTTCAAAAAGAAATCTCGTGTCTATTAATGGGAAATAAGGAGTGTGTGTAAATTGGGAACGGGGACTGGGCGGGGATAGCAGCTAATCACGAACAAGCCTCATCAGCTATTGCCACAACTTGTTCCTGTGACACATGGAGAATGTGGCATGGTACAAGATGCTATATCTCAAAAACTGGAACTAGTAATATAAAGGAGAACCTTGTCAAAATACAATGCATGTATTGGCTGTCCCAGAACAGGAAAGTGAGAAAGAAAATTTGATGAGCACAAAAACACTCCATGAAAATATCTCCAAAATGCATAACCACAAATTGGGGATAAATATAGAGCTGGAATGTAAAGACTATATGTATATGAACAATGTAGAATATATGTACAGTACCAAAGATATAGCAAAGAGCTTCTCTACGCTCCAGTAAAACAAAGCTTCCTATTTCAATATCTGTAACTTTAATTGATTCATAAATGCCTACCTATATACCAATTGCACTATTCCCTTTTGGGATAAGCAATCATATGCAAAGTCCCAAGAAGGAGTAAGAAACAATAAGCCAAAGAAATTTAGCCATGAGGGGAAAAAAAGGGGAAAAAGTTAAATCTAGTTTACATCAGCGTCATTCACGATACATCTCCATATCTTTCTATTGTTGGAAATTGTCACTATAATCACTACGTTCATATACTGAATCAGCCACTGACTTTTCTTCTTTAAACTTCTCACCACTCCCTTTTCCAGTATCTTATAAAATCTATCTAACCATAAAACTTTCCAGGCCTTTTCCTTTCTTTCTACCCACTCACTCTTCTGTTATATACTTGTTTTGCAATTCAGTCCTCTTTCATTTTCTCTATATGATCAAAGTGTACTTCTTTGGTACTGGTTACTCACTTCGGTATCAAATCTACAATCATTCAGCAACTCTTTACTATTGGACCTTTCTTTCTTGCTTGACCATAAACACTTCTTAAGTACACTGTTCCCACTGCATTCAGCCTAGTTTACTGTGACTTCTGATATACCAATCTCACTTCCATAAAACAAAACATGCAGAAACAGCTCTTATAACCATTTTTCAACTTTCAACAAACACTCCTACCTTAGAACAGACTATATACTGTTCTATCCACTACCTTTCTATCATCATTGATATATTTTAAAGCTTCATCACCCATTTCCCCATTTTTGAAAACATCTTACCAAGATACACAAATTAATCTTAGTTGCTCTAGTTTTTTGAAATCCATGCATAATTTGCCATTGTTCACTCAATTTTCCCTGTCAAACCTAACACCTTTGGACTTTGATACATTAATTTTCAGAACCATACTTCTCATGGCATCACATAATCTATCTCGCATTCAGGATCTCAATCAATGTGGCATCTGCTGTATATAAAAGCACATGCACATTCACATCCCCAACCAGCATACCTCTAAGATCAGACCTCTAAATACATTAAACAATCAAGGAGACATCCCACATCATTGCCTTACTCCCTGCTCAATGTTAAATTGTTTCATAAGATTTCATTTATGTTTTACTTCCATTATATATTATCAATCATCTGTCTATCTATTTATCTGTCACATTTGTAGGTCACCCACTCAGCATATCTCAGAATAGTGTACAAATTAAAAACATAACAGATCAGTATATTAATCAAAGCCAGAAAAGAAAAGAAAAGAAAAGAAAAGAAAAGAAAAGAAAAGAAAAGAAAAGAAAAGAAAAAAGAAGGTCAAACAGAAGACAACAGACACTATAATAGCAAAACCATCTTACCATGGGCCCAACACCTGAGGAAAGAGTCAGTTTTTTAAGGCTTGCATAAAAGAGAGTAGTGTTGGGGCTAAATTCCTGGAATGATGCTGTTCCAGGTACCGCAACAGAGTCCTATAAGATGACACTGATATACCACTCTTGTAATCAGCAACCAACCTTCAGCTCCAGATTAGCACAGAACATTCCATGATTCAAGCCAATTCTCTTTATCTATAAATCAACAAATGTGCAATAAACTTGCTTTCTCATATTCAAACATTCCTCAGTGATCTGCTGAATAACAAAACATATACTCTGTAATTCCCTGCCTAGCATAAAGCCACATTGCACTTCCAAAATTTTGCCCACAGTCACCTCTTGTACCCTTTCAATCAAAACACCATCAAACGTTCCCAGGCATACTTAACACACCAATCTTGCTGTAATTTTTGGATTCACTTGTGGTACCTTTCATTTAAGAGAAATGTGATGTATGTATGTATGTATGTATGTATGTATGTATGTATAAATAAATAAATAAATACCATAATGACATTCTTCCAAATGTCAGGCGTAAATACAGTTCTCAAATACATTTTAACCAAGTCACACAGACACTCCATAAGCAAACCACATCCATATTTTAACATTTCTCCAATTACACCATCTAGTCTTTCAGCGTTATCATTTTTCAATATTCTCATAGCACTTATGACTGCCTTTTCATCATTTTTTTTATTGTGCCATAATCTTTATAGCATTTCACACTAACATTCCCATATAAATCTCTAAAATATGCCTTCCAAGATTCCTTCAGTTCAGGTTCATTCCAATCAGAATGAATTCACCTCTACCAAAGCCAATTTTTGTTTCCATCATAATTGTTCTGCACCTATCATCCTGTAACACACTTCCTATTAACATAACTCCACACACTTCTATGGCACTTTCCAACTTCTCTTCACTTAGTACCAAAAGCCTTCGATATTCTCTTTATGTTCATTCACTGTATAGCAATATTAACCTATTTTCTAATGCTATTTCATACAGGGCTCCCTGCAGTCATTCTGTTTCCACTCTAGTTTCTCAAATGTCTTTCTTTTCTTCCACTGTTTCCCAAGATTATCCCTTGATACTACCAAATAATGATTTGTCCCATATTCAAAACCTCTCATTATTCTTGTATCCTTCACTAATGCTCTCAAGCTTTCATCAGTAACAATAAGATCAGTCACATTTTTTCTTTCATTCCTTTTCAAGTGTACAAATGGATGTGCTTATGCTTAAATTATATTTGAAATTAACAGAACTTTTTCTAAGCAGGATCTCTCAATGGCCTAATCACCTTTTTCTGCATTCCCTCACCTTGTTCCCACTCATCTGTTCACATCACTTAACAGACTATTAGACTGCATTAATTCAGAATGTTGCATAACCTTTCCCAAATGATATTTTTGGTTCTTCCATTATTACCATTCATTGGTTTCACAATATGCAATATCGCCACTCGATGGATTCCTACTTTCATACATACTCGTAACAACTTAGATGACACTATTTCATACTTTTTGAGATACATTTTAGCCCATTCATTCAATTAAATCTTCATGACTCTGCACATATTCATCAACTCCATTCCACAAGATTCAATCAGTTTCATTCAAATGTAGTAACTCCTTTTCCTTTCTCTTGGATTCACAGACACAAATATCTTCCTGTCTTTCTTTACTTTCATTCTCATGCTCTTTACCATTAATTCTTCTTACATTCCAAGTCATGAGAATGCTATGGTTGTCACTATAATCACCACATTTTCACATAATGCTTTTTTAGGAAGATAGAGAAAGTGTAGGCTACATTACCAGCCATAATCACAACCATAGCCCATTTAGCATATCTTGTTAATTATAAGGATAGCACTTGTTAGTTTTGGCACATTTTTGCCAGTATGCCACACACATTTGATCTTAACTCAAAGACCAAAGGGTTGGGACTAAATTGCTCCAAAATGAAGGTCTCCTTTTCTCTAAGAGACCCTGAGAGTATAAATGGGAAATGGATGGTTTTCAAATTGAGCAGGTAAAGGTGTTCAAATATTTCCATAAATTACCTTCAAATTTAGATATTCTCTTATCTATTTTTTCATAAATACTTTCACATTTAGATATTTTCTTCCAGTCCTCTACTTCCTGGATGCATCAAGTCTGTGAGGTCACTGCAAATGCAATTATTAGAATTCCTAGCTACAATACAAATGTTTAGATTCTTGCTGCAATCAATCAATTTAATGTAAAAGTTCTGAGTTTTTTGTTGTTTTGTGCTCTGACCTATAGCACTTTGAACCTGTTCAGTCAACATTTATTAAAATTCTACTGTGAGTCCCTCACTCTATTCCAAATGCCCTCCTTTGGATAGAATTAGCAGCTATGTAGCAGCTTGAATGAGAAACTTCTACCTAAAACACTGGCTAAGACAATCCTTTTGGGAAGAATCACAAACTCAGCTGAATTTTGATGAAAAGTTTACACATGAGGAAACTCTTCAATTAAAAAATAGTTTTGTGTCATACTGATAATGAACAGGATTCTTCTCAGTAAACAAATTTCATCTCATGCCAAATATGCATTGAGGAATCTCAAATAATTTAATAAACATGATGATCCTCTCCTATTTCATCAATAAGGAGCCTTGGCTGATAATGGTAATGGAAAAAGTGGGATTCCCCTCAGTGAGATCCCTGTATTCTAACATTGTTTAAATTCTTCATCGAAGGGGATCTTAGAATTATAATTCCAACATATCTCCAAAGAGATTCTGCTTTGGGTTTGTATTCCCTGACAGATCTTACAAATCTTGTGGGTATATATATAAGTAAATAATAAAGTCCATTGATAAATAAACCCAATTGGGGAAAAATAATAAATACATCTAATACAAACAGAAACAAATGAGTTGTACTTACTATTTAGTTGTTTGCTTTCTTCTGATCTTTTTACAGCTGTTTCAAAGTCATGATTCATCATCAACCAATATAAACCAGGGTTCTTTTTTACTGAATTATTCAGCTATTTTTCAGTGTAAGTTTTAGAAAATGTTTCTATGGGTATACCTCCTTATGCTCCGTCTTTGTACTTGTTCACAAATTGTGATTATAAATGTTTAGGACATTTTCTTTGGACTGCTTGTGCTTATCCCTTTTTCCTTGCCTGCTCACCCATGCCAGGGCACCCAGTTTACTCATGGCACATGGTTCATCCCCAATGGTCTCATCAGTTGTCTTGGACAATGAGGTCACTGGTCATTGCTGACATCTTGCACAGGACAGTAAAATACAGGCCAGCAGCCATAGCTAAAAAGATGGACATTTAAGCTTAGCATTGCTCAGGAAAATGGCTTAAGGAGCCATGCCCCAGTTTCTGAAAAGCTAATTAAATTCCTGCCAAAGCATGTCTTCTTACTTTTATGCTAAAAAAACACAAAAAGCAAAGAGATTCACCTCTGAATATTGTCATCATACATGTCTGAAGATCCAGCTGTACCAAAAAAGGAGTTTGGGTGTATATAGCCCTCTCCTGGTCCTGTCATCTAGCAAGATCCAGGAAATGGGCCCTGTCATAGCACCTGCTCTAAAATAGCATCCTTCTTGGCATTTGCCTGGCTCCCACATTACTGGCCTTTAAAAGAGCATTAAAAACATGGCTCTTATGCCAGCCCTTGGGTTAGGGTGATTGGGGAAGTCAATCTTTCTATCAGCATGGGGAGAAGATAGAGTCAGCTGTTAAGTAGTTGTACTGTAACTGAGTGACCTGGAAATTTGAAAGATAAATAAATATAGGAACTTCCTCTGTATAATTATAAACAGAGTCCTTATACTTCCTTGAGACCTAACAACAGCATCTGCTGGCTGAACAATTTTTTTTTTTTTTTGAAAAGGACAACATGTGCTGTCTCATCTGCAGTCAAGAATAATTTTAATGACAGGCAGTTTAGACCTAGCTTAAATAAATAAACAAATAACCCCTTTTGAAATTTCATGCAGTTTCAAAAACAGTTTGCCACTACTGTCAGGGCATACAAGTCCAAAACAGAGTCTCTTTGGAGGTCTTTTGAAATTATAATTTTGAGAGCGGCAATCTCAAGGGCACCCGGTTTGAAAAGTCTGCACGATATCACTTTCTGGAACTAAATGTGAATGCCACAATTGCTTTATTAACTTTTTAAAACTTTCTGTCTTCTTCTGAACACTACTCTGCCAATTTGCATGTCCATCTATGTAAATGAAAGCCAGGCTCTTTCAGTTAGGCCATGGGATTGGATGATTTGTATTCCTATTTTTTAGTTCATTGGTATTTTATATTCATGGCTGTGGGTTCCCCAAAGTCAGCAGTTAAACTTGATATTGTTATGACTGATTTTTCTTCATTTGTTTTTGTTCTAAAAATGCATTTAATATAGGATTATATATTGCCTAGTGATTGTGGGTCAATTAACTAATTAAATCACGGCTTGCCCCTAATAAGATGGATAGGGTGTGAAAAGTTTAATAAGTGCCACTTTGCAGTAAGAAGAAACGAACCTTGGTGACAATTCTGTAGGTGACGAATGTCTCAATGGCAGTAATATAGCTTTCTGGATCATTGACTGTTACGAAAAGATCCTTTCCTTCTGGTTCATCCTCAAATTTGTACTGATTTATCATCGAAGATGGAGATGTTGGCATCATAGGACTGAATGAGTTCACCTCCATAAGCGACGCATCCTGTGGATAAACAAGGCAATCGAAAAAGTCATCAGGGTTACCAAAAGATACCACCATAAAAGCTACATGTGACTGCTATAGTATATAATTGATTAATCACAGTTTGTAAGGCAAAATACATAAGACTTGTATTTCATGCTCAATCTTTTTTTTTAAATGACTCACAGAAGGCAAACAACTATTACAGAATGTCATGTTGCTTGTCCTGGAGATTGAGGAGATGATGATATATAAAATACCGAGTCAGTTCTGAAATTCTACCTTAAATAATAGATTTATTTTACTATCTCTATTTGAAAAGAAAGAACAGTATCAATAGTTCTATGTATGTGTGTGTACTTAATATTATGGCTCTTAAAGAAGTAATTAAATTAAGCACTGCTGCTCTAGAATTAACTAGGTTTTTTGCCATCTCTATATAACAATTCTTCCAGAGTTTTTAAAGGCAGTTCCCTAGCATTCCATCTCTACTGGCAAACAGATCTTTCTTTTCTTTTCTGGCCTGGAAAACAGGCTGCTTGCTTCTCAAGGAATCAGCAAAAGGGAGGTGGGAAGATATATCAATCAACCAATAAACTACAATAGCCTTTCTTTTCTTGAACATGATGCACTTGGGAATTTGGGTCTAAAACTTTCCCTGACCTCCAAAGTTCACCCATTTCTTTTCTTCTTCTTCTTTCCAGCAACAGAGTCCCTTTGTAAATATGGCACTGAATTTTGCACTGCAAATCACATTTTTATAATACTTAAAATGCTAATATTGTATATATCTTTTCCTTGTAGATTATAATACAATTGTTAAGTGACTAAAAAAAAAAACAATGGTGCTTCCTGAAATCACTGAATTGCTACAGAAGCCCTTATTTGTACTCAGTCTTGTAGAGCAGAAGTGTAACACATCCACACTATCCCCAATTTGGTGCTATCTAGACACATTGCATCCACACTTCCCAGAACAGCCAACCAGCGTGAATGTTTTTGGTCAGTTCTCAACTATTATGAACTAACTAGATTAACCAACTTAATCAATTTTAACAAGGCCACCATTTTTCATCCCACCTGCACTATCATAATAAGGCTTAACCCAGCTGTGATTTTCAGCATCTGATTTTTAAAACAGTACTTGGAATTATCATATCCATTTTTCAAAAATCATAGCTGCAGGCACTCTGATCTTGAACTGTGATGCTTTATCTCATTCCTTTTGCACCATTTTCTCATCAAAATGCTGCTCATTCTATCCCAATATTCCTTTCTAAAAAATATACAATATTACAGACTGACTTTCCTAATTCGAGGGGGAATTGACCTTCAAAGAATATTTGGTGCAAAGTACAACTGGACTGGGTCCAATGATTACCAGCACCTGTCTACAGAACCTTATATTTCAGTAGCTCAATAGAAATCTATAACATACACATTTCTTTGAAAGCAATCAATCCAACAGTTCAACAACAGATGCTAATTCATTTCTTTCAGCAGCTGATAGCCCTATTTAAGGTACTAGTTCAAACATTATTCCATTCGGTAAGATGTAGCTGGTCACAAGGAACTCTCTCTGCTGCGGCACAACTGTTCTGTCACAGAGGATTTCAAAGACAGTATATCCATTAGATGTATTTTTACCCTGTGGAATAGTGTTCTTTTTTTTCTTCTTTTCATGATCACAATAATTTTTACTGTATATTGCTTTTCTGATTTTGGAGATTGGAGAGGAAATTTTTATTATGAAGACTGGAAATTTTCCTCTATAGACACCAAAGGGGAACACAAAGACAAAAAAGATAGATCCAGTCTACTAAAACCTTAGACACTTTTAAGGAGAAGCACAAGAAACCTGAAGTGAAGTTGAGGGGGAAAAAAAAAACAATAAAGATAATGGTACAAAATCTGTGCAAATCTGTCAAGTTCAATTTTCTTCTTTCTCCATTTTTCTGACCTTATGTTAAGTTTTCTGACCTTTTCTCTTACAGCTTGTTCCTGCTGAATGCCCTTCCTTCTGAAATCCTTTCTCTTTTATTATGTTCAAGCACCTTCTTACTTCACATCCATTCACTTTAGTTTTTTTTCTCTCTCTCCCCATCGATTGGCTTTCCTTTGTACTTTCCTTTTTTCCCTGTGTCTTCCATAAAGTGTCTTCCACTGCTGATTGTAAGCCTGCAGCCAAACCTAGTTTAATTTTCATTTGGTGAAGCTCTGGGTGATTTCAATAGTAATTTAAGGCATTTTCTCTCATTAGTCATTTGTCACAGTCAAACTCATACATCTATATATAAAACTACTGCGTAACATGGAAAACAAGGTCATGGACAGGTTACCTTAAGGAAATTTTTTGTAGCTAAGTAACCCATCTCTTCTCACTTCAGTCAACTAGTACACAAATTAGCTTCTTCTCTTCAGTGCCAATTCTGTCAGAACCTTTATATTACAGATTATTAGGTTTATGTGTTCCAGAAGTGCAAAAAAGCCCTCCAAACCTATAATTGATAACTAATAATATAATCTCTTAACTATTTTTGAGACTAATGCTTTAAAGGCAAGCAGATAATAAGCAGTTGACAATTTATGGGGAAGTTAGCCCAAAGTGTACTTAAAGCTAACATACAAAGCAATCAAGTATAATGTGTATTTATCACATTATCCAATTCACTGAGAGAAAGGCAAGGAGCTCAGAGAGCAGCAGGGGAAATAGGGCAAGTTTTCAAGAAGTAAACCACCCTACACAGTGTTTAGCTACAGGAGATGGCACAAAGAGAATCAGAGAGACTCTTGCCACCACAAAGAAAGCCAGCATTTTGGAGGCTGCTTGCCACAGCAAAGAGGGAAGGAAATGTATTATACAGTGCATTCGGAAGCCCCTTCACTTTTTTCAATTTTGTTATGTTGCAGCCTGATACTACAATTGTTCAAATTCATTTTTTTCCTCATTAATCCCATAATGACAAAGTGAAAACAGAATTTTAGAAATGTCTGTAAATGTATGAAAAAGGAAAAACTG